AGCGAACGACGCGGTATCCTCTTAGCAATGGATGAATAGAACGACTTCACATCTTTTTGTATTGTATAAGACGTGACAAATCAATTCAAGACGTGTATTTTCTTCAAGCCCCGAAATTATACGTCCTATACAACCCTCGCAAATCCTATTACATATTTATTGATAAAATCTCTATGAGATCTAAGTTATGAAAATGTTTATCTCATCGATATGATAAGACTGAAGAAATATCTAAAGGACATCTACTGGTGTTTCTGGGTAATTTTATTGTGCTGTTTAAAATTTTATTCTTCTGTTAAAACTGTAGCAAAAAAAAAAACATTTTTTTATTAGGATTTCATAATAAAAAAAAACATGGTGATTGTTATTTTCACACTACGAATACTGCTACACACTGCACAAAACCGTAGTAGATTAGCGTAGAGTTCATCGCCCTACTACGGCGTAGCACGTAGCCGTAGCCGCGGGCCGCAATAAGCTACGAGTACGAGCCTACGGCGCCCGCCTTATTGCCTTTCACGGGGCGCTTGAGGAGAATTGAACCGACTATGGGATAGTGAATGGACAAATTGGAGTTTTATGTGGACAGTACAAAGGTAAGATGTAGAATATAAAACACTAATGTGACTATGTAATTAAATTCAATGTAATATGGACTTTTTTGACCTTATAAATGAAATTGGCATAGAAAATCTAGCACTTGAATTCATAGAACATCACTCAGGAGAGCTAGAAATTGGTGAGGTATGCACTAATAAATCATTATACTCATTTTCTATTGTAAATGCTATCGCATCATTAAATTAGCTTTAATCAACATTGTATGACACACAGAATCACTGAAACAGGTAATTTTCGGCTCTAGCCGATAATTAGAAATAACGTCATTTGTACGTTATAACGTCATTGCCATAACAGCGTTTCAGCGAGCGCGCGTGATACCAGAAATTGTGTTTGTTAAAGGTGCTCTTACACGAGCTATTTTTAAGCATTGACACCATTTTAACAACATGGTTTTTATAACCCGTCCTTAAATTACCAATTCAATAAACTACTTATTACTTGTTTCAGGGTCAAAGTATGGTTTAAAGAGAGGTATCAATATTTTCTTGTTATTAGTCTTGGCCACATTGTATGGACAATCTGAAGCATTTTTTATTAATTGCTGGCATTTTTACAGCAAATGCTTCTATCTTTCATTTCAACCTATAGTCGTCCATTGCTGGGCAAAGGCCTCCACTGATTACCAAAGCAACTCAAAGACTGGTCGTGCGCTGCCCACATCCAAGTGCTTCCTGCTACCTTTACCAGATCGTTGGTCCTCTAGATGACAATCAGAATTGTTTGTATCAATACACTGCTAGTCGTTAACCCATTTACAAAAGTAAACGCGCGTGACTAATATATTTCACGTTCATTATGAACGGTAACAGTGTTGTGGGCTGTAGCTTCAATTAAAGGCTGTACAAGGGCGTTTATCCTGGCAACACTGCCGCCGGCAGCGCGCAGTGGCGCGGCAAAACGGCTGTTAACACGATATTGTGGCCGCGCCGGAATTGTTTTATGTACAGCCGAAACCACAGCACTTATAAAACAATTTCGGTATATTTCGAACTTGGCTGGTTAGTTACTGCATGTAAAGTCAAAGTTAAATAGTGTCAATTTGAAGAACATTAGAAGATTTTACTAACATTCTTTTTTTATCCACAACGAGGAAGCTCTTGGCCTGTATCTCACCTGATGGTAAGCGATGATCAGGCCGAAGGTGGAAGCGAGTTTCACCCGGAATCCTCAACCACGGAGGAACTGGCTATCTTACCTCTAACTGGCTATCTTACCTTTAACTGCCACAACACAAATGCTGATAACATTGTTGTTATGGTGACAGACTTAGGTCAGATGGTGGTAGCCAGGCGGACTTAAAACAAGCCCTATCACCAACCAAACCGAACAGAAAAATCTGTCCCCACTGGGAATCGGACCTCTGCGTCTGAAGCAGGTGGTCTTACCACTAGACAACAGAGGCGGTTGACTGTATTACATTTAAGGCACCGTGGATTTGCCATTGTAATCCCAAAAAAATTGAAGGTTTTTGGTCTGTAAATGAAGTCATTATGCTATAGAGGTAGAGTCTAATGATGGCATCATCATCAGATGTTTTTTAACCTTCTTCCAGGGGCGTATCTACCGCCGTATCAATGATACGGGGCCCCAAGGCTACAGGGACTTCCAGGGCTGGACTTTTCGGATTAGACAGAGTAGGCAACTGACAAGGAATTTCTATTAATTTTGCAATTACTTTTTTTAATGACAAGGGTCTTCTTGATCTAATGACCTTTTTATGAAAGAGTCCTCTTGAGCTTTTTTAGATGGGGTCCCCAACAAATTTTGATACAGGGTCCGTCTAAGGCACGTTAAGCCACTGCCTTCTTCGTCCAAACTTGTGTATTTCCCAAAACTAAACAGCTTTTGCACACGGCAGTACAGGGCCCGTTAGGTGAGCAGCGATCGCGTCCCAATTTCATGGACCCGACAATCAAATTGACAAGTTGTGTCACGACGTACAGCGGCCACACTGAACCACCGATATTCTGTACTTTAACTTTAGGTGAATTAGATTACTAGTGAAAACAAGATAAACAATATTGTGTACTGTGAAATATCATACAGAGGTCGATCATGCGCCCCACTGGGTTCCAAGCGATTCACCTCGCTACGCCATCGAGCCACCGATGTTCATTACAGTTGCGCAGTGGACCATCCTTGGTTATGCGCATAAGCCTCAATTACGACCCATTCACGCGTCTAGATGTCTGCGATCGGTGGTCCAACTCGAAAATGCTATTTCGATGTAACAGATCTTATTATCTTTCTTACACATATGACAGCTTTTCAGGGTGCGAGAGAGATAGTAACAAAATCGTATATCGGTTTGCGAAGTAGGACCTAGATTTGGATTTCGGCACCATCAAAATTCTGGGTATTAATTTAGTTCAATGCCAGAGTTGTAACCTCAATCAATATCGAGCAGATGAAACAATGTTCAGACAAATATCGTCCATAGCTAGGCAAAAGCCACAGATTTTTAACAACGACCGGTCCTGCACTGCTTGCGTTCAGGTGCTTCCCTTTAAAGTTTCCTTATTGTCAGCAAATAATCGCCAATATGAATTGATAAAGCAATTTCATTTAAATACCGTTATAAAAAAAATACATGCTCATGTGCATGGTTCAATTAGCGTCTAATAGATGGCGCTGATCGCCTTTTAGATCTCAGTGGATTTTGTTTTACTGATTAGTAAAATGCGGTGTCTTAGCTAGCAACTCGTTCTTTAGGTGTAGTATGGCTGATTAAAAAAGCATTTTAAGGGATTCTGCTTTCCATTCACCACTTATACTTTTTTTTTAAAGAATACATATACTAATAGTCCCGTTAGCCCCTCGTGTTAAGCTAATAGGTAAGCTTGTGTTACGAGTGGGCTCACCACAATAGTCAAGCGGCGGTGGGATTCGAACCCGCGTTCCTCGGATCTCGAGTCGGCCAGTCCGACCACTTCACCGTTGGGCTATCATGGCTATGATTCTATCACCATTCGTCATTTTTTGTCTCCCAATCACTCACGTAACTCTGTTCCAAACTTCGTGTTTCTATACGTCTGATATAATCGCACGAGGCGCCTCCCCAGTTATGCGCATAACGTCAATTAGGACGCATTCACACGGATTGTCTGCGGCTGTCTGATGCAAATTCCACTTCGGACCACACAGCCGTGTGTTAAGGTGAGTATAGACTAGGCTTTAGTCACTAAAGCATTTCTGTATACAGTCAAAAACCACCAAGTTAAAAACATAACCTTATTCCAATATTAACAAAGACGTGTTGCGAATTTTTTAGCTACTTTAAGTGTCACGAACTTTGACGATGACTGTACCTAATATAACGTTCTTATGAATGGTACAATACAGGTAATGTGTAAAGTGACACTGACCCTAGTACATTTCAAGCGGCTTGTTGTTCTGTTACAAGAAAATGCTCTAGTTTATAGTCACCTTTAATGGAGTATGCAAGAATCTGGCATAGGCGTAGCAACAAATTAGTTAAGAGCATGCGAGGATGCGGGTCCCCAATCAAGAACGATTGTTGTTCAATTTATAACAACACGCATTTCAGTTACCTATCTGGAAATAATCCCCAATCGACATGTGGAAAAACTAACAACTGCCTTAATATTTTTGTGAAAATTATTTTTAAGTTTGATGATTACACACATTCAATTCAATTATTTAATAATCCTGCTAGAACTGCACCTTTAAAAATGAAGCTTAGAAACTTCATACCTATCCTATAAGAAGAAATCGAAATAAAATATGATAGCAAAGTGCCTAGTGGATAAATAAATAAAATACTCATGTTGCTACTGTGATATAATTAAAAAATTAAACATACGCTTGGAAGTAAGATGACAATTGTCAATGAAAAAAAAACATACAGCAGAATTCAGAACCTCCTCTTTTTTTTAAGTTAATAAAATTATAAGTAATTTTCATTTGGGATTAAAGTTATGAAATTATCTTTTGTTAGATTTATTTTATTTAGTGTGAAATATTTTTACTATACATTTTAATAAGAACAATCATCATTAGCATTTTCATAACAATACAAACATAATCGTTTTCCCGAACAAATTCAGTACAGTCATCGAAATCAATTTCACCTCATTCCGCGCGAACTCGAAAAAAGAACGCGCGAAACGCAACCGCAAATCGAATCTCGATTCAGGCGCTCTTTCACCGAAAGCCAAGATTGTGGTTTTAAAAAGAAATTTAATCTTGCTAATAGACACGCAAACAGCGACTCTTGGGCTACCTGTTGCCCCGACCAGAGACAATTGGCGAGCCGGCCAATCAGAGAGCAGCGTCCGCCCACGGCGCGCGCCGATTGGCCGGCCAATCCAGAGGGGGGGCACTACGGGGGGACATCGCCGAACTCACCGTTACACATGACACTGGCGAGAAAAGCGCCGCATTGAGCTTTCGGGAGCTTTTCTGGAGCGCGCGGGAATACACGTCGGGCTTACGACATTGTTTCAATTTGAATTTTATTTGTTGACTTATTCCATGGTTATTGTACAAGTTCTAAAATTGAAATAATCCGCAAACAAAATAGTCTTTAAAAAAAAAACAAAAAAAAATTTATGTAAAAAGACTAAAAATAAAATGACAGGCTGGAAAGTGGCGAAAAAAAATAAAAACTGAAGAATAAAAATTGACGTTCGAATTTGAAATCTTCGTTCAAAATTCAAAATGTCTCTGGGCAAGCAGCAAGGGGAGCACATCAAGCGGCCCATGAACGCCTTCATGGTGTGGTCACGGGGTCAGCGCCGCAAGATGGCCCAGGACAACCCCAAGATGCACAATTCAGAGATTTCGAAGCGACTAGGCGCTGAGTGGAAGCTGCTCACTGAGATGGAAAAGCGGCCGTTCATTGACGAGGCAAAGAGGTTGAGGTGAGTTTTTTTATTAATTCTAAATAAATTTAAAAATACCAAAATACTTCTACAATTTACGACTAAAATACCACCACATAAACAGAGGTTATAATAGTATTTATTTCTAAATTCACGACTCTATAATTTCCTTGCCCTACATATCTAACCCATTGAATAATCCAAACGATTGTCTGCTTAGCAATTCATCAATACCGTGGGTATTAAACATGAATGAACATCAGTGCAATGAATGACTAGGTCACACTGTTAGACATAACAGTGTGACCTAGTCATTCATTGCACTGATGTTCATTCATGTTCATTCATTAAGTTGGGATATTTGCTGAAAATAAATTACTTTTAAACCCCAGAGTGCGTAGGGAAATTTTGCTATGTGGCTCTGGGTAGAGACAAAATGATTGTACACCAATATCAGTTTAAACAAAACTGACAAGCTTTAGAGCCTTTTTAGAAAACTTTGACCCTTTTAAAAAAAGTAACGGTATGGTAAGCAACGACAATCACTTACCATCAGGTGATCCGTCTGCTCGTTTGCCTCCTGTAATATAAAAAAAAGTTACTTATTAGACCTGTACAAGTAATAATTTTATGATTTTTCATCTCACATCCGCCTGAACCACTCGATTTTTTTAATTTCAAACAAAACTTAGATTTTCAAAGAAAAATCAGGCATATTCCTCTCTACTTTCTCGTTACTGCCATGGACCCTAGATAAACATTGCTTCGATAGCAAAAATAATAATATGTGCTTTGATTGATTTTGATGCAGGTGATATTTAGGTAAATGTCAATAATTTATTTATAACTTCAAATTCAAAATTATTTATTGTGAAACATAGGTGTAGAGTTTTGTAGAGAGACCAAAAAAATATTATGGTTCGAATTATCATGCTAAATAAGTAGACTTAAATAGTAGTAGAATACTTATATTGTTGGTTTTTGGGCCTTTATTTGCGCCAACTCGACCAGGTTTGATCTATTGTGGCAGCCCTTGTCTTTAAAGTTCACTGCTTAGTCCCGTTGAGTCTATAAATTTCCAGATTCTTTGGAGCGTGATATCTGCTATCTCATCCGGGTGCATGATGTGTCGCCCGAGATGGATACTTCTTTTGCTCATAAGCGGGAAGCATGAGCAAAGAACATGCATGGCCGTTTCTTCTTCTGTATGGTAGAATTCTTGGTAGTAGAATACTTATGGAAAGTCTAGAATGACACCTATAGACATAAAAAAGTAGTCTGAAGGGTCTTACTTAAGACACACAAAAGGTAGGCTCACTTTTAAATTTCATAATACATTTCGAAAATGTCAAGGTATTTTAATAAAATTATTGAAACTTTACTACGAGGGCGGCACTGAAAATTTCGGGAATCAAGGAAGTGAAACAACATTACTATTTAAAAATGTATTTATTGCTTTTTAAAGTATTCTCCGCGAAATTTGACACATTTTTTCCATACACGAAACCAATCATTGAAGCAACCATTGCATTCGGAAGTTTGGGTCTCCAAAATGACCGTTTTGTAGGCGTCCACAGCTTCTTCAGGTGATGAAAATCTCTGACCACGCAATTTATTCTTTATTTTAGGGAAAGTATAGAAATCATTAGGGCTTAGGTCGGGGCTGTACGGCGGATGGACTAATAATTCTATGTTTTCTTGCTCTAAAAACTCTTTTGTTCAGTGCGCGGTGTGAGAACTCGCATTGTCGTGATGGAGGATGATGCGGCGGTTGCAGTTCTCTTTACGGAGTTCAGAAACGACCTGTGGCAAACAAATGTTTGGATGGGGCTTCATTACCAAATGCAGAAATCATCCGGTCAACACACTGTTTTTGTGTTAAACCACTTCAAAAGTCATAATAAATCATCGCTCTTGAATTTTCTTGAGTCAATTCCATTTTCTCAACGACTAAACAAGTTTGACAAGACCTTGTGATACGACCGAGAATCTTTTTTTAAATAAATAAATGGTATACGATTTTAAAAACCCTGGAGTTTGCAATTAAATAGATTTTAATATGACAGGAACAGTGGAAATATTCCATTCCCGATACTTTTAGTGCAGCCCTCGTAACTGTTACGGTCGATATTTTATTTAAAATATTTTAGTCCATAAAGATGTAGGTTGTAAGATATAATAATTTGCATGAAACCTGAATTCTGGTAGCAGGCAAGAAATCTCCACTTTTTCTTTACTAAACTCTACCTTAATCTCTTAAAACTAAACCGGAAACACAAACCTAAAAACCCCTCATTATAAACGTGTCTACACAAACTTATCAAATCAATTAAAAGCTTCAGAATGCAGTGAAACAATATTGTTTTAAGTTAAAACAATATTGTTTTTAACTAACCCTTCCATTTTTTGCCCCACCTCCCACAGAGAACAACCCTCGAACAAAGCTTATCAACTGCGGTATTTGAGTAGAACAACGTCCCGTTTAATTCGTTGTTTTAGATCAAACACACCTGTAATTTATCAGTGTGAGAAGTAAAAACTGATAAGTGTGAAATTTTGAATTTACAAAACAGTTTATTTTAGGAACAGTGAGCAGTCATAGGTATCACATGTCAATTATATTAGTTTAGAAATTAATTAAAAATAAACAAACGTCTTTTCACATTTTTTGCAAGTGGAAACACTTTTTATTTAACAACGTTATATTTTAATGTTTTGATTGTATCGTAAAAAAAAACGATAGGTTTTGTTCAAACGTCAAAGTGAATCCAAATTAATGAACTACATTTTCAGCATCCACAATGAGGTTTTTCTGTATTTTTTGTAAGTATTTCACAATTTTTCTATTACTGATTTAATTGATGAATTCAATTTCATTATTTCCAAAAATTACTTTGAAACAATTATGAAATTAATTCGTAAATCATTATGCTGTAAAATATTATTTAAGTTGCGACATAGGCTGTTATACGCAGCGGCCACTCACAGTGGGAGACAAGAAGCAAACACAAAGAGATGGATGTTTATCTTGTTTTTTTTTTAAATTTGTTATCATAACGCAATAGAATAAAATATTTGACAGATTTTTTAAAATTCGGGTCCTCAAAAATTACAAAAACGTATAAACGTCATTTTTAACATTTTTATTAATGTTCAAACCCTAAGCGGTCGCTTGAGACCGCGGTAAAAATGATTTTTATTGTGTCTCAATTCGCGGCTACTTGAAGGGCCTAAAACTTCTTATGATAAATTAAATAAATAAATATTTTTGGACATTTTACACTACGATTCTAGTCCCAAACTAAGCAAAGCTTGTACTATAGGTACTGGCCAATGGATAGTAACTTACTTTAATACTTTTTTTTAAATACGTACATATTATAGATAGCAAACACTAAAACCAAAATTAGTTTAATTTTGAGTGACTATGTAAAATCATTTTAATTTTCAAATAACATGTTGATATCGTCAATAACGGAAACAACTATTCCATTTTACAAACAGAAAACCCACAAGAGGCAAATAATTTAAAAGTAAACATGGGGGTGATAGCAAGTCGTATTTACATTAAAGATAAAAATACGTCTGATGTTAAATGTAGGATGGTATTCTTTAAGTTGGTCGGTACCATCGTTTTGAATTAAATAAGTCATAGTAAGTTTTTTCTTATTGAATGAAATTGTTACATTGTTTTCAGTGTTTTATATCCCTAATGATTACGAATTAATTACTACTCGTATTATGTAACTTTTTTTCTTTTCTTTTCTTTTTTCTTTTTTTTCTTTTGTTTTCTTGAGTGGGGTATAATAAAGGGTGTTCTATTTATCTTCTATTAATTTCTTCGCATAAGCTTAAGCGGCTTTGTTCTATGGTAGATGTCACCAGCTTTTTCACTTTAGCTCGTTAATAATTAAGGGCTTTTGAGAGATTTATGACGTAGAGACTTGGGTGGGCTAAATTAATAATCTTGTTTATGTGAGCACACCGTCGGAAACAACGCCTACTGTAGAACTATTTACAAGGTAGAAAAATATGTTGTTTAAGATCGCAAATATGCTGATAATGGAATCTTTTACTCCTCTATTTTTGTTTGTTCAACACAGTTATCAGTAATTCAAAGTGTTAATCGTACTAACTATTCTAATTCTGTCGTATATAAAAACCAGTTTCAGAAACGTATACCGTCTATTCTTCCTCAAGTGACATTAATAATAAAAAAGCGAACATCGAAAGTTAATAGACAATAAAAAAACATATCGTAAAAAAGTATAAATATTTATAAAAAAAAGTGTCCATTCGTGGACATCCTCCCCTTTTTTAAAAGGAAAACGACTTTTCGCATCTACCACCCAGTCGGAGCACCTTCCGCCAACAGCTCCTGCCCATCAAATCAGTCTTGACTCTTCGCACAAGTCGATCCCAGGTGCCGACCATAAATGGAGCCGAAGGGAGTATGAAGCGCCAGACGTAAAGGTAAAGGACTCGTAGTTGCCGATTAGCTCCAAGAAATGACGTGCCATCATCGGAGAGGATGGTGCTCGGTGTGCGATGAACCTCTGGAAACACATAATAGCCGCATCCGCAGGGAGGCTTGCGACGATCTCAAGGTGGATGGCTCACTGCACGTGAACAGTGCCTCCAAAGTTTCTCTTTCCTGCGACTTCAGTTGGTCCAAAATAATCGATGCTGGTGAAGAGGCGCTGATGGTGAGCCAATCTTTCCTCCGGAAGATCTCCCATTGGAGGACAGAGCGTTGATCTCCGAAGCAGCTTACAAATCTGGCATCAATGTACGACACACCGCACCGCGTTTCGATTCGTATGCCGAGAATCCAAAACTTTTGCCGCAGTTCATTAATGACACTCTCCGTGTTGCAATGAGCGAATTTCTCGTGGTAATGAAGAATAAGAAGGCGTACCAGTGGCTCTTTGCCATCCAAAATTACCGGTAGCTGCGCCAAAGATGCTGTTGAAACATTGTTAGACAAATAAAATAAGATAAAATAAAATGCTCAATATATAACTATTGCTTGGTGAAGC